CGCTCCTTCCCATTTTCTTTCCTTTCCCCCGTCTTCTCACTGTGCTTGTCTTGGTGAGTTATGGAGGAGAAAGACAGCAGAGCTAGGCACCAGTCTGTTCCCATCGCATGCTTCCCTCCCCACCACCATGGTTCCTTCTCTTCCGCTACTCGGTCGTAATTCACCTCTGTGTGCTCGTTTTTCTGCTGCTTCTGGCCAGGGCGCTCGGAAATGTCCCCGCGGCCAGCTGCCACCTGTGTGAGTGTGCCCGCGGCCCGGCTCACCGCCCACCGGCCGCCCCCGCGCCGTCCCCGGGCCCCCTGGACCCACCTGTGCCCACCTGCGCCCCGCGGGTCCGCGCTCCGCCCTGCGGGCCGTCCAACCTCCTCTGGGCTTTCTCAGCCGGCGAGGGGACCTGCTCTTTTGGTCTAGCCCAGACTAGACCAGGAAGCCTTTTGAATGGGCCTTTGAATTTTTTTTTTTTTTTGCCTTTTTTGATATCTCTCTTTGAAAATTGTCTTTATTCTGAGAAGCGAGTTTATCCCTTTTAGACTCATTTGGTCTCCCGTTAATCTATTTATGCTCGTGTGACTGTTCAAAGAAACTAATTGAGAAACCTTTCCCTGAGTCTCTAAAAGACATTTTGGTAATATGATTTGGGAGGGAAGATGGATGGCTCTGAACCAGCATGAAAGCGGCCCCTCCGCCCATAGGAAATTAAGCTGCCCAAAGATAACAAATTGGGTTGCACTGCTGCGTGCCTGTCAGGGATTAAGACAGCATGATGACTTGAATTTCTTTTTCTTTTTTTTTAAGTTCCTTTAAAAAAAAAAAAAGTTACCACCTACAAGGCCTTAGTATAGATGCTTGTTGGGGCTCTTGGTGAATTTCCTTAGATGAGAATAATTTTTTTTATTATTATTATACAGTTGACCAGATTTGTATTTTTATTCCAGTCGTTTTAGCAAACATTTCAGATGGATGACCTCTTGGAGATGATTTCTTCATGTGACGTTGAGTTTCTGTCTTCCAAAACATGTTAGATAAATCGATCTAAATCTATCATCCTACCCATTTTCTGTCTTGCTTTTTGCTTAGGTATGTAGAGAAAAATCCTTCAAGGAATCGTTTCTGTGCACACAGAGATTTGAAACTTGAGGGTTCATGGAGTGTAAACTCCATTAACCAAGTGGACAGTCATTGGCCAAAGCTTATAAATTTCCTAATTTAGGAGGAACTCTGAATACTGATCAGTTCCTGAAAGAGCTGGTAATGGCAAAGCATGATTTCTCCAGTTAGCACCAACTAGCCTTAGCTAACCTCGATTTTCCAGGGTTATTGCACTGTAACTGTCTCACTATGGGTTTGAAAATATGAAACGAGAATTTGTAGTATACAATCATGAAGCTGTTAAATCATTTAGAAAGGAACATTTTATTAGACTCTTTGTACTTCTGTTTGCCTTCTGAAAGTAGTTTAAACAGAATATAATACCTTTTCTAGTTCCCTTAAAATGGCTAAACTGTGCAAGAAAGTGCCAATGTCTGACATCATGTCCATAGGAAATTAGTGTCGATATTTCTTCAGGGATCAACAGTTTTCTGTAAAGGGCTAGGCAGTAAATATGTTAGGCCTTTGCAGGCCAGGTGGCCACGCCAACTGCACAGCACTGCCATTGTAGTGCAAAAGCAACCCAAGTCAATACTAAATAGATGAGCAAAGTTGTGTTTAGTGAAACTTAATTTACCAAAATGAGCATGGGCCAGATTTGGCCTGAGGATTGTATTGTAGTTTGCCCAGACCTCTGGTATAAATGGTATGTATGGATTATACCTAAGCAAATTTGTTTTTGTTTTGCACAAGATTATTTTAATTCCTTGGGGGTAAAATGGGTATCCATGGGAAAATAATAAGACATTTGGGAGGAAAAACCCTTTATAAAGCTAGTTTCTTACTAGTATTTTTCAGTTATAAATTGAGAAGAGTATTTATGTTTTGAATTAAATACTGAAAACCATTAAGAGGGTATATGACAGCAGAAAGAAAAAACAGGACAAGCTTAGTCAGCTTCTAACATAAAGGCATGGGTGGTGGTGGTGACCTTGTAAAATTATGCTTTGGGTTATAAGATTATCACAACATGGCGCTGGACTCTGTGGTCCGTCTGCCTGCTCCACCTGTTTCTTGGGGAGCAGAAGCTGACTGACTAAAGTGCTTGTTGAGAGGATTTTTGTCTAAAAGCGACCGAGTTTCCTTAACGCTGGTTAGTTATGTCCTAGTGTGTTTGCATACTTTTTACTTACTGCTAACTGGAAAACAGTTTATTGGTATAAAAGTGCAGTTGTATTTAAGACAAGATCTCATTGTGCTATCACCCCCATGCTGCAGCCTCCCAGTTGGGACTATAAGTGCTCCTGTCACAACACCTGGCTCTTTTTAGACGAGATTTTACCATTGCCCAGGCCAGCGTTGAGCCTGAGATCCTCATGTGCTGGCCTCCCCAAGTCACGGGAAGGTACATGCCATGCACCTGGCCTTTAAGTTGGACCGGGACCCTAACCCTGGTCTGTGTAGTCCTAACCTGCAGAGCACAGCATCATAACAGTGTATGCCACTATAGCCAGGCTGTGATTTTTAAGAATTTTCACAAACCTCAGCTATCTCTATAAGACAAGGACTAGATTTAGTCAGTGACTCTGCCAAGAAATCAAAAAGAGATTTCTTTAATACTGGATGACAGGCATAATTATGCTGTAGAGTTCATTGAAGGGTCAACTGGTGGCATCCTGGTTAGGGCAGTTGGGATTCCACATGGCCTACTACGTGGTTCAAGTCCTGAACCTTAGGGTTTGAGAACATGCAGGGTACAGGTACATGTGCGCCAAGTTCCAGAGAAATATGGAGGAGAAGGAATTGAGGAACAGCCATCTCTCCAAGGGATGCTTTCTCTCTCTCTCTCTCTCTCTCTCTCTCTCTCTCTCTCGCACACATACTCTCTAGCAAAATTTTAAAAATAATAATAATTGAACTGTAGCCAGCTCTCATCCTGAAAGCATTTTTGAAGTGCTATGTCATGTTTTTTTTTTTTTTTTGGAAGGGTATATAATAGATACTTAATTTTTTTTCTTTATTCATGATGAAAGAATGCATGCCCATGCATGTGAGAATGAGAGAAAAAGAAGTATCCTCCACAGGGCGGTCATACCACCATCCCCTTCTTTAGTCTTCCAGCCCATGGAATCTTGGGCACTTGCACATGTGTCCTGGGTATTTCAGGCTGACTAGGTTAGGGATTTGAATCACATTTGGCTTATGAGATCCGACTTTTTTTAGAGCAATACAATACTGCTGTGGCACAGAGCTGACCTTAGTGATAGATATTTTTTTTTTTTAATTTTGTGAAAGGTTGCATGTTCTCGCTAGAGAGAGACAGAGAGAAAGTGAGAAAACATTCCCTGTGGCAGAAGAGCATGTTGCAGTCCTTTCTCCTTTTCTCCTTTTTTAAAATTTTGGGAATCCACACAGGCGCCCCACTTTTTTTTTGGGGGGGAGAGGTTTTTGCTATAGGGCGCGTGCGCTCGTCGGACAAACAGAGAGACAGAGAGACAGAAAGTGAGAAATCACCCCCCAGGGGGGGTGGCCGTGCCGCAATCCCTTCTCCTCCATTCTCTCAGGATCTTGGGCATGCACGCACATGTGCCTGGCATGAGTTTAAGCCACCGGATCTGGAACTTGAACTGCGGTCGACTACATGGGAGTCCAGCGACATAGCCATTATGCTAACTGCTGGTCCCCCACATATTTTTCTGGATCCAGAGCTGGAATTGTGGTCAACTGTGCAGGATCCAGATGCTTTCCTCGAGCCACCAACTTGCTGACTGCTTACAATAGATATTTTAAATTGGTTGCAAATACTAAATCATTTGCACTAAATAGGATTTTGATCATTTTCCAGGAGAATTGAAAACTAGGTAACTTTATAATGAATTGAAAATTTCTTGGATCATTCTTAGAAGTAAAAATTAATACAGTATGCAGTAGGGTTTTGGCTGATTATTATCTAATAATAAGTTAAGGAAAACAAACAATTTGCTGAAAATTGGCCTGTATTTCTCATTTTAAAATGTAACCTTATTGGCATCCACTGGAAATAATTTAAAATCGGTTTTTGTGCTTTTCCTGCCTTGAACTCTTTATTCAGTTTTGATCAGCTTGCGACAATGAAATTGTCCATTTTTGTGCTGGGGGTCACATAGCACTTAAATTAATAGGGACTTTTTTTTTTTAAAAAAGTTCATCTTGTGATGCTGATATATCACTGCCTGTTTATTTATCTGTTTGAATAGCAAGTGTCTAAAAAGTATTCTTTGGAATTTTTGGTGAAGAAGTTGCATTTATAAGAAGTGATCTGTAGGAAAACCTATTTTTAAAATTATTAATGTATAATGGAGTTGGGTAGATCTTTGATCTACAGAGTTAGAGAGTGTAGCTAAGATACTTTTGTGGCAATCCTGCTCCATAAAAAAGATTTTAGGACACCAGCTATACAATAAATGCTGAGTGCTTTATACCCAAGAGGCTTTTGCCCTTAAATAATTTTGTTTCTGGACTCTCATGTGATTGACTTCCATTTAATTTGAAATAGTTTTGTTCTTTGACACAAGAAAAATGGTCTATTCAACACTGTTATATGGAAAAACATTAAAATGTTAATAAATGAAAAATTTAATAAAATGGGTTTGAACTAAAGGAAAGTGATGCACAGTCCGTGCCCACTATTCACAGATCCTGTGTCTCTGCTCTCTGAGATTGTAACCCTGACGTCCACCTTGCAGCATTGTGCAGTGGACGTGTGCACAACATGGAAAAAATCACAGTTACCCAATGTGCAACTGAGGTGGAATGAGGTGACAGTCTGCCTTCTTTTAGTTCTTTTCTTGTAAACAAGTGTCCTTCCTGTGTTTTATTTATCATTGTACTTTTCACATCTTTGTCCTTTAATTTGTGATTTTGCTATTTAAAATGCTCCCTAAGTGGAGCGCTAAAGTGTTGTGTAGTGTTCCCAAGCACAAGTCTGTGATGTGCCTTACAGAGACAATAGCTGTGTTAGATAAGCTTCATTTGAGTGTGAGTTATGGTGTAGTTGACTGTGAGTTCAATGGTAAGAAATAAATAATAGATATCTACTAAACCAAAACACACATAAAGTTAGGTATTGATTGGTTGGCAGAAATGCTGTTACCAGAGGTTCACAGGCACCTTACCCTGTATTTCCCCTAGGAATAATGGTTTAATATTCACTAACTCAGTATTTCTGGTGATTTTATAAAACATAGCTATCATGAATAACAAGAATTGACTGTATTACCTCTTAAGTAAAGACCCCCATTTACAAATAAGAGTTACATGCTGTGGCATTGTTCTCTCTTTTCTTCTTTTGCTTTCCTCAAAACAGATGTTGAAGACCTGAAACTAATTTATAACTAAATGTTACAAAATAAAATCTAGTATGTAGCTGAAAATAGAATTTCTCTTCTTTGAAAAGAGAAAGTGAGATGTAATTTTAAATGAGCTGGGTGTGGTGATGTGTGCCTGTAATTCTAGCTACTCAGGAGGCTGAGGCAGGGGGTGGTGAGCTTGAGGCTGGTGTGGACACCATAGTGAGAACCCTGACTCTAGAAAGAGAAGAAAGACAAGATAGGGAAAATAAAACAAAAAGAAGATTACAAAGGATAAGCTGTAGTTAAGAGATGTAACGTTTGGCTTATAATGTCTACTTTTTTTTAGAGAGGTTTTTACTATAGGGCAAGTGTGCTCACTGGAGAGACAAAGAGGGAGAAAGTGAGAAAACCTTGGGGCAGATGGCCACGCTGCAGTCCCTTCTCCTCCATTCTCCTCTTGGGATTTTGGGTATGCACGCACATGTGCCCAGTGTGTTTCAAACTGTCAGCTCTGGGACTTATACCGTGGTCAGCTGTGTGGGAGTACTGCACCACAACCACTATGCCACCTACTGGCCCACAGTCTTCTACTTTTTTTATTTGGAGAGTTTTGTTTGTTTGTTTTTTTGCTATAGGGCACTTGCGCTCACCAGAAAGACATAGAGACAGAAAGACAGAAAGTGAGAAATCACCACCCGGGGGGATGGCCACACTGCAATCCCTTCTCCTCCATTCTCCTCTCGGGATCTTGGGCACGCACGCACATGCGCCCGGCGTGAGTTTTAAGCCGCCGGGTCTGGGACTCAAACCGTGGTTGACTACGTGGGAGTCCAGTGACATAGCCATTACACTAACTGCTGGTCCCCGTCTTCTACTTTTAACGGAGTTGTTATGCATTGTTGCAGTCAATATAAAGTAGAAGAAAGCATAAAAGATTTAGTGTCCATAAAAGAAAACAAGTATGCCAGCCCTGGAGCCTAATTGTTAAGGGAGCCAGATCCCCCATAGCTGACTGGTTTCAATCACAGCCACTGTGGCTTGAAATACAGAAAAAATGGGCCAGATATGTGTGTGCCCAGAGTCCCAATAAGATGGAGAGATGGAAGAGGGGGTTGAGGTGTGGCCGAGCCCCATGAGGAATGCTTTCTCTTTTTCCTCTCTCTCTACCTTTGTCTTCTGGCAGATGAAAAAAGAAATAGCTATTCAGGTAACAGTATTAACTATCAATCTACAGATCAGCAAGAAAGTTATCAATCTAGAGATCAGCAAGAAAGTTATGTATTGTGAACTAAAAACAAAGACAGTGCTAAAAGCAAGTCTCTGGAATAGGAGGTTAATCAGGCTGTTTATACAAAGCAGTTAGTGCTAAAGTAGAGTACAGTACCAGAATAGTCTAATAAAATAAATTGCTGCTACAGTTCAAGTTCACAGTTTTCTTCAGCCCTTGATTTGCTCTAAGGAAAGGATATTACTCTGCATAGCAAAATAATTCTTGCCTCAGGATGAACCACTATTTTTCTCTGAAAGTTTATCTAAACCATAAAAGATATGCTTAACCTTGTTCCTAACATTCTGATTTAATTGATATATTCTTAGTGCATAGTCATTTTGTGACAATGATTAGTATCACTGTGCAAATATTCTTAGGTACTATCACTTTGATATGTGTTCTGAATTTATTATAGATTCATTTAAAATAGCTAAGACATGGCTGTGTGTGCTAGATAACTCATTGGACCTTTTGCAGTACATATTGTTACATATAATAATTCTGATGGCTAAAACAAACTAGAAGAACAATTCAGACATTTACTTCATGACTACTCCATTGATTTTTTTTCTTTGATCATTAAACATACAATTAAATCATTAAATGTGTAGGTGTCATTCTGGAAAATGTAGTATTTGCTTGTACTATCTTTTTTATTACTTGATGGCAAAAATCCCTTAAGTACTGATAAGTAGAAATGTCTGTGATAAGAGGAACATTGAAAAAAAAAAATCAGTATCTTCTTCTTGCTGTAGGGCAAGTGTCCCTGGAGACAGACAGAAGTAATATGAGAAAATCACCCCCAGGGCAAATGACCATGTTTCAGTCCCTTCTACTCCATTCTCCTCTTGGGATTTTGAGCATGCACACATGTCCAGCATGATTTTCAAGCCACCGGGTCCAGGACTGAAACCTTGGTTGGCCATGTGGGAATCCAGCATCTTAACCACCATACCACCTGCTGGTCCTGGTATTGTAATCTTATTTATTTATTTATTTATTTATTTATTTATTTATTTATTTATTTATTTATTTTTAAGAGGCCCTTGCCTAAAGAGACATACAAAGAGACAAGGGCAGTGAGAGGGAAAGTGAGAAATCACCCCCCAAGGGGAGTGGCCATACCTCAGTCCCTTCTCCATTCTCCTCTTGGGATCTTGGAGATATACACACACGTGCACCTGGCATGATTTTCAAGCCACCAGGTCCAGGACTTGAACTGTGGTCAACCATGTAGAAGTCCAGCAATGTAACTGCTATGCCATCTGCTGGTCCCAGTATCTTAACTTTATAATGAAAGATTTTGGGAAAAATTGAAAGGGTAAGGTTTTCTATATTTAAAAACATTTAGATGGATTTTTAAATAATAGATTATGTGTGGAATTTTATGATATTTTTATGCCTTTATGTATTGTAACTTTGAATATTTTTCATTATAGATTTTACTTTTCGAAGCAGTCACCTTGCCTAAAAGTGAACACACTCTTCGTCTAGGATTGATTCTGTGTGCCCTATGTCTGCACATCAGTGGGAGTCAAGCACAGCACATACAAGCTGTTAAGTCTAAAAGGAAATGAATTCTTTCTTGACGATTCTAATTTCACTTGTAAGTTCAATTCAGAATTAGCTTAAAATGGTTTAAATGTTTACTTACTGAACAGAACTTAAGTGCCATAGCTAATTAGAATAATACGCAATCAGAAGTTTTCAGGGCTTGGGCTGGCACGTTGCATGATGATTAAAGGCACTGGATTCCCAGATGGACTACCACAGTTTGAGTCCTGGACCTGGTGGCTTGCTTTCTTGCTTTCCCTTTCTCTCTGTCTCTGGTTAGATTAAAAAATAATAACAACAGATGGAATTAAGTAAATAATTCTTAAAAAAAAGGTCTTCAGGGGTCAGCAGGTGGCAGAGATGTTAAGGTACTGGATCTCTCGTGGGCAGCTGCATGGTTGAAGTTCTGGACCTAGTGGCTTGAAAATCTTGCTGGGTGCATGTGTGTTGCATGACCAAAAATCCCTAAAGGAGACTAGAGGAGAAGGGATTGCAACTGGCCATCCTCCATGGGGTTTGATTTCTCATTTTTCCTCTTTCCATTTCTCTCTCTCTCTCTCTCTGGTGAAGTGTACATGCCCTATAACAAAAAAACTAAAAAAAAGGGGGGGGAGTTAAAAAAAGTTTTCAGAACATGCTTAAACATACTGTCTAATATTTAATACAATTTAGTTGCACAGTGATTCTACCAGAGAACATGGGGAAAGCCCCACCACATGCCTTGTGTCCTATTCCCTTCAATCAATGTAAATGAATATTATAGTAGTTATTAAATTGCCTTTTACAAGACTAAATAGGTGATCTATTTGGCATACATCTTTGTTCTAATGATGAATATATTTCCAAAGACAGACCTGATCAGTATGTGGATTATAGAGCTGCTTTGAATGCCTGAATAATTTTGTCCTCTCAGATTGAAAACATTTCTGATATTTTGGCTATCATTCTGGAATCTGGAATTTGAGTTAAGTTCCTCCACTGAACTTGTTTATAAGACCTGAAACAAAAGCAATGATCCCATGCAAATAAAGTTATAGATATGTAGCTTTTGACTTCATTGTTGATTATTAATTTTTCCTATATTTTTCCTATTGGGGTATCATACCTTTCACTTTGGCTCTTTTGAAAGTCTTCAGTATGAATAATGTGTAGGAATATTTCTTTCTTCTTTTTTTTTTTTTTTTTCTTCTAGGGCATATGTGCTTGCCAGAAAGAAAAAGCACGAGAGAGAG